GTGGGGTTTGCTACTGGTCCTTGAAGAAAGCAAGGGAACACGGTTTCACTGGATTTTTGTCTCCTTCTGGCGGCACGCCCCGCCGATTGCAAAGCAAGTCGAAATCTTTCAAGAAGAAGAAATCAAAGGTCATGGCCGGCAAGAAGCGCAATAAGTGTGCTTCCTGCTAGAAGTTCTTTGGGAGGCTCTCTTATGCTGTGTGTAGGGAAGCTCTGGCTGATCATGTGCTGGACATGGTTGTTGCACGGGATTGCATGTTAAGTACAGTGCATCCGGCACACAGCAGGAAAGAGAGACATTGGGTTTCCTGCGCAGAGAGCACATGCAATGCAGTGTGCAGCATTACTGCCACGGGGTTCGCGACAAGTCAAGCGCACAAAGACCAAGACCAGGGTGCAACAGCCACGATTTCATTCTTGTTGGTTTGACATGTGTGCGGTCATTTCTGAGACCCTCCGTTTTTTCTGAACATTTGCTGCAGCTGTTAATATTGGTTACGAGTTCTTTGGCGGCATGCGGCCCTCCTTGCTTCGTCACATAATTCCATGGTTAAATTCCTTACCAGTGCCGAGCGAACTGAATGATTTCGTGCCTCGGCAACATGTTGTGACTGCTATCAGCCGGTGTGACTGCATGAGCTTGCTGCTCTCGTCTGTGAAACATATGTGCTTCGAACACTTAGGTGGAGGCCTTCGCTGGGGAGGGCAACTTCACTCAGGGCATGATGGAGAGCGGCCTGGTCGGAGTCAAGATGGATGCATCTCGGTTCGCAACACACATGAGTATTTCGAATAAAAGAACCACATAAACGGATGAAAAGGGAGAGACTTGCAGATAGAGAGAGAGAACACATATATGTATATGAAGACAGGGAGACACACCCACACACATATATATATATATATAGACATATGTTATGTATGTGTATATATATACACATGTTTATGTGCACCTAAATGTATATATCTGTGTGTACATGCATCTGCTACATCTTGCAATCTAACCTTTTGCATGCTTACAGGGAAGTTTGGAAATTTGTGTACGTGCCGATATTCTCGAGTATAGTATGTTATGTCTACATACGCCCGCACGCACACGAGCGAGCATAGGAATTGAAGCACTGCGTGTACACACATAGAGTCTTGTCTGTCCACGCGGTTGAACTCACATGTGTTCCTTACGTGGTTTGTGGAAGTTGTGTGCCTCTTGTCCGAGGAGAAGCCAAAGAAGAACAAAGCTGCCATTAAGCCACAGAGCATGGAGATCTCCGTGCTTTGGCCACAGGGAGGGGCTGGAGGGCCATGCAATATAAGGCTACATCGGCCAGGGCTGCATTGCTGCATGTTGTAGGAATCCACCCCTTAAATCAGGGGACAAGCAGCTGCAAGAGGAAATCAACCCGGATCCTGCAACGGCTTTAGGATATTTACCCTTGCTATTCCCATGTGATTGCTACGAAGAGGCGTTACAGGCTTTACACTTACCTATGGTCTTCATTGTAGTTCCTTTTTTTGGGTTGCCTTTAAGATCCTCAACATACTATGGGAGTTGGTTAAACCAAGAAACGGAGCAATGGAGACTATAGGTAACGTCTGCCGGACTGAGGAGCCGAAGGCGCCAAAGCTTACAAAGTCCCAGAAGCGGGAGAAGAGGCTTCGGCAGAGTTTCTGCATCTCTCGAGTTCATCATATGGTTGCATGCGTAATGTCAAGTTGAATGTAAGTCTATTCTTCATGACGAACGTCGATCAATTGGTCAGCTGTTTGCGCCAGCTTTGATGTGCACGCTACTTTGGGGCAAAACTGGTGGCTGCGCTCGCTGCATCTGCAGGGCTTGCTGGTCACAGAATTCGTTGTCAGCTGCATTTCCGCATGCACTTCCGACACTTGCGTTGTACATGGCGACGTGTGTCACTAATTAATTAATTAATTAATCAATGAATTCATTAATTACTTAATTACTTGTTTAACTACTTAATTAATAACGTATGTATATATATATATGTATTGTTCAGTTTCAGAGCCTCGAAAATTTGACAATCCCAAGCTCCAGGAAGCAAGCCCTGAGTCTCGGCAAAGTCGGGAAGACTTCGCCGACGGCCATGCCGGCAGCATCACCCACCCTGAAGGCCAGTAGCAAGAGGGTTTTAGGGTTTAGGGTTTTCACCCTGAAAGCCAGTAGCAAGCTCTCTGTAGCCTCTACCTAGAATTCAAAGAACCCATCTTTTTGAGGACCTAAGAAAGGAAATCATTATAAGGAACCTAAAGGCAGGTTCTTTGGGGTCCAGGTAGGGTGGGAAGGGCTGGAGTCTAAGTTCAGGTCTTCAGTCGAGAATGAACTGAACATGATGACGGTTTGGCCTCAGACATCGTCACGTCTCTGTCAAGTCTTAGGGTTTCGGGTTTAGGGTTAGATAGAGCTCCGGGTTCAACAACGAGGGTTTAGGGGTAACTTGAACCGTGCAGCCTCGGAGCTTCATGGGTGGTTGTTCTTCGGGAGCTACGAGTGCCTCAGCTTCCCCTTGTAGTGACGCTTTCCATGCCGGTCTCCCGGATCGAGTCTTCAAGCTTTTGCACGGGCGAAGTGGACCCTAAAGTAGATACTTGAGCCCTAAATCGTGTGCTTGTTTCACGCCGACTCAAACCTATGGAACCTCGCCTGGCTTGTCCGAGTTGTGAGGGCATAAACCCCTAAACCCTAAATATGCTGCCTGCAGGCATCTGTGGCAATCAAAGTTTCAAGCACCAAGGGCTCTACTCGGAATCCATGACAAGTCCATGTAGACATGAGTCCTGATTAGGGTTTAGGGATTAGGGTTTTTTCGGGTTTAGGGATAAAGTCCTGTTTGGGACACCTTGAGCCCTTTTTTCCCCCTCGGCCTGCGAATTCAATGCCGAAAGCTTTGGGGCTTTAGGCCTCATGAATGGGGAGCCCCGACTGGCCGAATATAGAAGCCTAAACCGATGTTATTCTTGAGGGTTCCTTGTTATGAACATATTTTCATATGCATCCCAAAAACCCCTGATTTGAAGGGGCCCCATTTTCCGCAGATCCTCGTACGAAAAGCCTTGCAACTACAACTACTCCAAAGACAGCCATAGTAGGGGCTTGGGGCTCACTGAGTGGGTGTGCTTATATACTTTCAAACCTACAGCAGATACTTGCTTCAGTGTGCAAAATGAAGACTTCTCTACAGAATCAGCCTTTAGGCCCTGCATCCTAGACTGCAGTATATATAGGTGACAAAGCACCGCAGGCATACTATTATGAGTGAGTGACTCACTGACTGACTCACTCACACATTCCCTCACTCACTCATGGTTACCCAACCAACCGAGTTAAACCACAACAAGCACAAATAAACAACCTAACGAAATCAGTTGAAACCAATCAACAATGATCACAGAAAAATAACTGCACATGTGTGCGTGTGTATGTAACATGTAGCGGCTTTGATCTCCGACTGTTCATAGCAGGCTCTGCTAATATCGGAATTCAAGGCCCAAATTCAATGATTCAGATCAGGAGCACAGAGACTTCCTCCCTATAGGTTTCAACTCCAGCCGACTTCGCAACTCGAACCTCGCCTGGCATGTCCGAGCACAAGCACCGAAACCTAAACAAACGGGGTCGGTACCCTTTCGAGGCTGTCTCACCAAAGGCGACGCCCGAGGAAGATACGCAGATGAAGGTGGATGTCGCCCCTTTGGCTTATGGAACCCTATGAATCCCTGCAAAAACCGTGTACCTTGTGCCTTGCAGAAGTACACTCGAGTGAGCCTTGAGGCACCAAACTCTTCCGTGCTGAACCCCCAAACCTGCCTGAACCCTAAGTGGCTTGTTTGGAGTGTCCATACATACATACATACATACATACATACATATACATACATACATTATACATACATACATACATACATACATACAGACAGACAGACAGACAGACAGACATACAGACATACAGACATACAGACATGCAGACATGCAGACATACATACATACATACAGACATACAGTGACATACAGACATACAGACATACAGACACACAGACATACAGACATACATACATACATACACACACAAACATATATATATATATGTATATATATATACATATACACATACATGTAGAAGTCTTGATCGTGTGTCCAAAGCATGTACAGTTCCAGACAGTTTCCAGGGATGTATGCGAGCGGGTGCCTGGGAGGAGAATATACGGTTTCCGAGAAGAGTGTTTGTTGGGCTGGAAGTCTGTTTTCTAACATTCGTGCCAGAAGATCTACGGGCCGATGGTTGAAGCTAACTTCATGCTGCCGCATGCCAGATTCTGTTGGAACCGGTGATGTCTGAAGCCACAGGTTCCGCCCGTGTTCGATTTGTGGTCGTTTGGTAGAACACGCAGATCCAGCAGACTCCAGCATACCTTTGCCTTACCTTCGCAACCTAAGCCGGCTCCTGTCTCAGGAGAAATCCAAGAAGCGGCGGCGAAAGGAACAAAGAAGGGCTATCCAAGTACACAAGACACAGCTGCCGCTTGCATGAACCGACTCAATTGCAGTTGCTCGGGTGGCTATTGGGCAGGCGAACTTGAGGCTTTTGGCAAATTGTGCTCAATGGGTCCGAAAGGATTGGCCCGTGCCTTCAGTCTGCGCCCGTTGCCTGCCTTGCCGAGGAAGAAGAAGGGGCAAACAGCCCACTTGAAGAGCTGAGCCGTCGCGAGATCACGCCTTGTGTTCCGCACATACCTTCGACGCAGACCCCTGTGATGCAGAGCCCGACGAAGTCCGCGTCGTGCTCACAGCCGGTGAACTGTCACCCACGGTATCGGCCCAACCCTTGCTTACCGTTCAACAACACCGAACCCTAGAGTCCTAGAGCTGCGTTTTGGGTGCGATGCCGGACTAGAGAATTTCAGTAGTGTCGGCGCGGGAAGGGATGCACCGCCGAAGAGGCCTCCTGCACAAAGGTTAAACCTTTGGCAAGCCGGGAGCGCGAAGGGGATTCGGTCAACCTTCCCAGAGAGCATTGTGTTTCTCGTATAGTCTTGTGTGCTTTAGAGTTTGGCAATCTTTCGAGCGCAGGTGCTAGCTGATCAAGCTCGTCTCGACGGCAGCCTTGAAAAATAGCTTCGCTGCCTTTCCATGCCTGCAATCACTATAAAGTCTGCGACGGCATCAGGGGGCTGAAAGTTGCAACAGCTAGCCTAAGTACTTTTGGCCCTGCTCTCCAGTTCTTGTTACGGGGTCCTCTGATTGATGGCGCGGGATGGCATCACGAATAAAGTTTTCGGGGCTGTAGAGACCTCGCTGGGCAGGCATGAGCCCGGCCCTCATAGCAAAGCATCGAGATCGAGGCCGGCTGGGTAATAAATCAGAATAAGAAGAAAAAGAATCAAGATAATAGTCGTAGCAATAACAAAAAGGATTTGTCTGGATCCATCTCTACGGGAAATGCAGCAGACACATCGGGGAGTTGTTTCATCAAGTCTCTGGACGCCGTCAGTACCCAGGGCGAAGAATTGTGCCGATCTGCCCTGAAAAACACAAATATATATTTATATATATAACAAACATTTATGCATACATCATGTATATATATATACACACATAGAGAGAGAGAGAGAGCGAGAGCTTGCCATAGAACCAAATGCCTCGCATTTTTTTTGAGCCTTGCCGGCTGCATACCCCGGCCAGACACAAAACCAACCCGGCAAAAAGGCCCTATGAACGCTGGTAGCAGTGATCCATGATTTTTCTGTCACCTGTAACCTAGACTCTAAACCCTGAACCTGCATGAACGTACCTTCCCACGTCGGCCTTTACTAACAGCTGAGCGGCAGGAACATGGCCACGCTGACGCTGCTC